TACAGTGCAAAGTCACTTTGCAAAATGGCAGCAGCGTGAACAAATTAATACATCTGGATGGCTTCATGTCTTCCGTGCCGCAAAAATCTCATGTACATATTGTTTCTTCTGGTGACTTTTCACACGAAATAAGTCACCCAGTTACTCTTTGTAAATCACTCTTGTGCATGTATGTGTATGTAAATAACATTCGTTATTTTGGATCTAATAGCATTTTCATACGTGAGTTTTTTCTGGTCTCAGGGCTGTTGCAGCCCCGAGTTCGGTAGTTTGGTGAAGTGTGAAGTGTGAAAGCTGTTTTTAAGCCAGGAAGCGGTCCAGTGACCTGATCCCTGGATCTCCTTGAGCTGGTGGTCTGGGGTTTGCTTTAAAAGAACCGCCGCATGGTTGAGGTGTGGAAGCTACTTTCCTGATGCTGGGAAAAGGCTTATTGTGGTTGCTGACGTATAAAACCAGACTTGCGTAGCACTGGTGCACGGTAATTAGCTCACCTTCGTGAAAACGCCTTTAATAGATCACGGCTTGTGTTTATTCTGTACCCTTTAAGGTATTGGTCCTCAGACTGGAGGCTCAGTAACAATCTTATTCATTTGGGCTGCGTAACAATGCTATTAATTTTAACTTAATTTTTTAAATATGCTTTCACCAAAGATGAAAGAATGGCACAGGTTTAAAATAGTAAAGGTTATTAAACATCTTTAAAATTAAATATGTGCCAACTAATTACTACCTCACGCTAACCAGGCCATCGATAGCTGTGGAGAACTTAATATGCCACGAATGACACGAAGTCTAGTCTAAAAAAATAAGAGTAAAAAAGAACTTTTTAGTTCTCTAAAAAATGTACAAAAAAGTACAAACAGTTATACTTGTGTGTAGCCTAGTAAAGACTAATTAGACCTTACGGGCCACTGGCAGGTACATTTACATTTTTTTGTACCTTGGGAAACAAAAATGTAGCTGTACTGTGCTTAATTTCTGACTGTGTAATTAGGGGAATTAAGAGCATCTTACATTTTCATTAAAAAGATCATCATTTGTCTTTTCCTTCCTTTTTCAAAAAAAAAATGTTAATTGGTGCAGCACATAAATCTGATTTATAGATTACCTCATTTCAAGATTTAACACTTTTATTGTACTCTCCAGACAGTGAGAGACACCGAGCCAGTGAACCTTACACATTCCAGAAAGCTCGGCGTAGTGTGAAGCGAGAGGCAATTAATGGTCATGGCAACTCTTGTGTTAAGAACATTCTGCAGAAACAAGTCGAGTGGAAGGTGGTGGGTAAGAATGTTAATTGCAAAAACACTTTGTGAAGGACTGTATTCATTTAGTCAAAAAAAGGGGTTTGTTCGTGTATTACGGCTGATGTTGTTCATCTCATCTCCGCAAATGGGCTTGCAGTGCTGGAAATAATTATTTGAACCATATGCGCTGGCTATTGAAGGAAATGCGGTATCAAGGGGAAAAAAAACAGGCAATCTTCCCACACTGTGAAGTTTTCTAACCTTAAACATGGGTACAGCCACTTTATCCTGATCCAGCTTTCATTCCGCACACTGCACTATTACGCTAATCTTCATTGTCTTCAGCATGATATCAGCGCCATGTTCCTTTCAAAACACCATCTCAGGTATCTATTCTAGTACAGTGATTTCTAGTACTTGGGCTAGAAACTACCACTTACGATCAAATCATAGCAAATGTTTTCCACCACCATCACCTAACACCAAACAAGTGTAATTTCCTACAACCCCTCATGGGTCTGTGAGATATTTGGGTGCTATGTGGGTATTTCCGCACTCAGATGTAATTTGGATGAAAATTGGCCTCATTATTTGGCATGACTGCTTCTTAATTGATTTGTCCCTGAGTGATTCTCCATTACATCATCACTAAGACGGTCTACAATAGGACAGTGGACGCAAATACACTAAGCCATTGATTGGAGATTTGGAACACTGCCTAATATCTCTCTCTAATGTGGCTTACTGCCATAGAAACTGCCCAGTGTACTGGTTAGCAGGAAGGGTTAACTGTACTCAGCCAGTTAACTGATGGCTTGAAGGAGACACCTATCTGCAAACAGGACAGAAGTGCTTAATGGTGAAGAAAGAAGCCCCATATGGATGCCCTGAAGAACTGTTTGGATTGCTGGGGATGGTGCCACCTGGGGGCTGTGGAGATGGTTTGGGGATCACATATGGGGAGCTGTACTGTGATGGCTTGGGACTGCGATTGCTGTAGTGGCTTTGGGGCTGCGGTTGCCACGAGCAGCTTCGTACTCAGGACTCCATCAGTGGACAGTGGATAGATTTTAACCAACCGGACTTCTTGCAAAAACTGTGATGAATTTATTGGTTGCACATTTGCACTACTTGTCCTTATAGTACACAATAATAGAAGGGATTTATTTATAATCGCACTATCCGTTGCACCCAGATGAGGATGGGTTCCCTTTTGAGCCTGGTTCCTCTCAAGGTTTCTTCCTCATATTGTCTCAGGGAGCTTTTCCTTGCTACCGTTGCCTCTGGCTTGCTCATTAGGGATAAATTCACATATTTACAATATAATTTTTGAATCCATTTATTTCTGTAAAGCTGCTTTGTGACGATGTCGATTGTTAAAAGCGCTATACAAATAAAATTGAATTGAATTGAACTTGGTGGTATCTATGCATGGAACCAATGGCTTTAAGACTTCATCTGTGCTTAAGTGACTTCATCACTTCATCTTCAGATCAAGCACTGAAAGCTCAGCAGCTGCTTGCACCAGTAAAACATAAACTCTATCATAACCTAGTTTGTATGTAAAAGGCCGCTATGTTTCAAGTTTACAAACTACAAAAAAAAAATGCATAGATTTAACATGGACTTAATTCATAATGTAAAATATTAATACCTTCCCACTAGTGGATGCTGTGAACGAACCTCCTTCGGAAAAAATGCATGTTTCCTCAACTAGAAATGCTTTCTTTTCTTTTTATTTTGTGAGCCGTGTGAGCAGTTCTTTATGTGGGAAGTACTTGTGTGGTCTGTGATCACTGGATATTTAGTAGAGATGGATCATTTGTGTTTATTGTAAGCAGAATCTGTTTGGATTTTGTTAAAATGACTAACTCGAGAGTCAAACCTCATTTGAAGTAAATGTCGCACTGTGAAAGACAGATGCTACCCGCTAACTGCTTCCCTGCGCCTTGATCATGGGTGTAGTATTTGCTGTTTATGTCTATTATGTAATTCTGCTCACAGCTCCTGACACTCCTGTCAGCGTATGGTGTAGGGGCGACTTTACACCCTGACCTACAGTGGAAGTTGTGCTCAGCTGGTGCGACTGGCTGCTGTCGTCCATGACTGGACTTTCACACATGGTCAGACCGCCTCGTGAGGAATTTGTGCACATGTGGTGGTTCTTCTTTCAAGATGTTAAGCCTCTGAAAGAACTAGAGACAGCTTTGGCTGTAGAACCTTCATTCACCTTCCTCAGGGAAGACCTGGTGCTTGGCTGTTCCAGGTTTTACCAGAAATGAATTTTTAACTAATCTTCTGATGCAATGCTTGTATACCAGACATGGGAACACCTTCAAGTCTCACACGAAGGCTTGTTTGGGCGACTGAGTTTAGATTGGGGGAAGTTTGTTCAAAATCAGTGCATTATTATCACTGGATCCTTTCCAAGCTGTTGCAGTTGTCCAATATTTCCGATAGAAGAGACTTTTAATGGGCGTTACATCAAATCAAACTGGCCAGCTGTAAACGTTTTTTTTTTTCATGTTGAACCATAACTTATTACATTACACCTAACTGCTTCCTGATTGGGCACTATTGTTTAAGTTGTGTGTGCTTTCTTGTGATGAGCAAATGCTCAGTGAGTCTGCAATAAAATTTTCTCTTGTTCATGATAATATCCATTCAACATGTTTCTCTCTGAACTGCAATTTTCATTCTTTTGCCCATTTTAGCATACTCTGATTGTGCCTTCCACAGTTTGACACAAAACACTGCTGTTTTAATTGCGAATTCTGTTAAACCTACCACTTCCTTTGTTCTTTTGTGTGTCTGCTTTTTTTTTGTAATCAGCTTCACACTTTCAGCCGTTCTGGTTTTGTTTGGTAAAATCCGAGACTTTTATATCCTACATCCACAGTCTGCAGTTCACTTGATGTCCTAAAGGAAAATGTGTGATGTTTATTACCTCATTGTGGCTTGAACAATTAGCGGTTCAATTTTCCGAAAGCAAATGAAAAAAAAAATAGTATATCAACAACTTTTTCATGGGAAGTATCATACAAAATAAATAAAAGAAATAACAGAATGTAGACACATTTCATCTAATTAATTTGTATAAAGACATTAGTGTACATTCTATATTTATTTTTGTGGATTACAGACAGGAAGCATGGACATGAACCATGGGCATCACATCAACGAATCATGATTACTTCACAAGTCACGTTTTATATTTTATAACTAATAAGCACAACCATTATGGATATGCATTTTGACATTACTGGAGTCCATTATTACTATTTTAGATCAAAACCAGCATGTTTAATGCTCATATATTATTGCTTCTTTTGGGCCATGTTGTCCTGATATTTGACTCTTGAGGAATTGATTGAGGAATTAACCATGACTGTGCAAGTAACAGACTCACAGGGCATTAGCTATTAACATCTCTCTCTTTTTTTCCATCCAAGATCCACCTCAGCATTTTCGCCCCATTATAGCATTACTCGCTGATCTCCACATTAGCAATACCTGAACATCTGAAACATTTCATATTAATAACACTAACTGTTGATATTACTTACCTGGAAAGACAGAACTAAAAGTATCCATAGAACAATGGCTTAACCTCTTACATTACAGGCATTTGGCAGATGCCCTTATTCAGGGCAACTTACAGAAGTGAAAGGACATTACATTTTTATATCATTTATTCATCTGAGCAGTCGAGAGCGAAGGGTCTTGTTTAAGGGCCCAGCAGGGGCAGCTTGGTGGTGCTGGGATTTGAACTCAAAACCTTCTGATCAGTAGTCCAATACCCTAACCACTGCGCTGGACTTAGAAAAAGGAACAGCTGCACCTGAAAAATCCTGTTCATCTTTTTACAATATATGATGACTCCCTTTCGTAGCAATTCATTATTTCCGTATTAACCAATACCTTTAAATTAGAAATAATCATTTGATTTTATCAGTCTACAAATAAAGTTTAATAATCCAATTAAATACGTGAGCATCACATAGAAATCTACACAGTTGGCAGTTTAATTTATTAGTGCGAGGGGAGATACATGGTTTTGACTGACACTTCATGCAGCCAATGGACATAATAGTTAAGCTTTATCCTGTGGTCGTATTAGTGTACAGTGAATATACACGTTTTTCCGTCAGACATGATGGACACACTCAGTGTTACTTCATGTATAACTATCAGCTGGACGTCATATTATGCTCTCAATGTTTTATTTGATTTCTTAATGGTCTTAGGATGTCTTATATGCTCTGTCTTTTCATCTGGTCTTATCTAACCCGAGCAGAATGCAGTTAATTCAGTACACGTTTTTGCCTCATGAATGTCTTCCTTCAGTTTCACGTTTTTGATTCTGTGCAGTGCAGTGATCTATGCTAGCAAACACCAAACCACAAAGGTTCAGATTCCTGCACGATGCACCAGTGAGTCATAAATCCAGTTTTATTGGAGTCCAATAGCCCTGGCCTTGCCTCACTCATCTCGCATTGTGCCTTTACAGTAGAAACAGCAGTTTCTGAGATGAAATGCCATGGCCGTTCTCTTTTTTTTTTAGGTTAGGCTTATAGAGCCTGAAAGTGTGTACATGCATTTAGAGAAAGATTTCACTAGAAAGGGATGTGGGGGAACTTTTCAGAGTTTAACCACACGTGACTAACGTTCCTGTGGATCTGAGTGTTAACATCGAAACACAACTGTAATGCTCCATCATGCTTTCTGACTAGTACAAGTGTCCTTCTTAGTTCTTAGAATGTTTCTATGACATGAAGGTTGTACAGTGTGAAGTACTTGAACAGGAAGGATTACACTTGAGGATTACAATAATAAGCGCCTTTCAGGGTAACCATGGACGCTGTTCTGATACATTTCAGCATATAGAATGTGATTAAAGTAATAAAACTCAAATAAAGGAAAAGGAATAAAACGCTACAATAACGAACTTAAAAAAAAGAATAAAGAAAAAAACTGCTTATTATATAACTAAGAGATAAACCAAATAGCGTTGTTGGATGAGTCTTTACCAAATGGTATATTTGCGACTTTAACAGTCGAACTCATCAGCCTTTTCATGTCATGTGTCCTGCACATGTCCCTCTAATAGGAAAATGACCAGATGAGCTTTATTAGTTCCTGCTGGTTGTGTCCGCTGAGTCATTCTTATTCAGTTGTTTTGCTGAGATCGTAGCTAAACAACATGGGGACATGTCAGATCCAGTGTGTAATTGAAACGGAGATAATTGATGTTGTAATTGGGCCTGATGTTTGCCTTACTTTTTTTGCTTTTTTTGGCTCAATCCTGTAACACATGTTTACAGTTTGAGAGTTGAAAATATCCTCTGCATTGACTCAGTGATCATATTGAACTGATTTCCAGGCTGCTGGAGCCTCAGGGCTGAACATACACCTACACAATACATATGATGTAACATGCCGTGTCATGGAGTGTAGTTGCTGTTAGGTGACATCTCTATGTTCCACCTCCTGACCCGGCATGTTTTCACTTCCTCTTTGCCTTGTTTTGGTCTCATACATTCTTGCTAAATCAGTGGGTATTTTCTACACTGTATTAAGGGTAATCCTTTGTAATCTTCTGATTAATCTCAGAAAAAAGCAGATGCTTCATTTCCATGAAATTACTGACAGGATGTGTTGGGTAAAGCCTCTGCACCTTGTAATGTATTTCTTGATTATGTGTTGCACTGCAGTATAAGATGCATCCTCCTTATATATTCAGTTATAATATATAAGAAAGGAATAAAGCACTCTGTGGTATGCTAATATAAAAGGGAACTAATGAGTGACAGGTCGAGTGACCACACCTAAGTTGATTATTTTCTGATAACAGAACATCCTGAAGTGTTTTATTCCTCTTACACCACAGCAGTTTCCCAATTCTAACATTTTTGAATGATTAAACTATGACACATCATACCACATATTCATTTATAGTTATAATTAATGTTGTGGAACGTCTGTGAAGAAAGTTAGTTCCTGTTCCTCACTTACATGATAGCAGCTGTAGAGTTGTTCCCTCACCAGCCTCTCGTTTTTCTGCAGCTCGTCATGTCACTGAGAAACTGCAAGGAAAAAGCGTAAACTCCTCTGTCCTGAAGATGTCAGAAAACCTAAAGTTGCAGCTTTACCTCTGACTGTTACAAAGCGCTGACACTGGAGACTCCTTCCATCAGTGTTGCATAAACATCTCCTTACAGAACGCTTCACCATGTCAACGATTACACACATATTTCTTCGTTGATTAACAACACATTTTTAACCCATTGACTATTCGTCTCAGGTTACGTGGAGCGTCCCTGTGAAGTCTCCGTGAATGACTGGTTGCTATAGAAACAAAAGCATTGTAATATAAACCTGTGATCAATCACCACTTCAATCCAGAGTCCTACAGCACTGTGCTGTATATCACTGTAATGTACAACGCATTTTCTTATTGTTTGTTGTTAACTCCTCTTGGATGATCAAGTATACATTTTTTTTAAAACGTTTGGAAGAGTGTATGCACCGTCATGATTTCAGACAGTAGGCTCATTGGCTTGGAGCAGTCATGATCTGATATGCTAAACTATGCTAATAGCAATGTGTAACACAGAGCAGTAAAATCAGGACACTAGAGGAACAGGGGTGGGTGGTGATGGTGGGAGGATATTTGCATTTTGCATATTCATCCAGCGTTCTTTGAGAGTAAAGGTATATAGATGCCTTTGTTTGTGTGTGTATTGTGTGTGTGTGTGTGTGTGTGTTTGCCAACATTAGATTGTTTACCATGCTTTAAATGACCTACTGAGAGCTGTACTGAGAATTTAAGTCTTAATTTGGTGAAGTTTGGAAAGCTGAGAAAATGGGAGTCATTAAGGGCTTTTCTGTGAACTCTTATGGTAAATTATCTGAGCAATCTTTGAATTTTTCCTGTGAGGAGATGTTTATGTAACACTTATGGAAGGAGTCTCCAGTGTCAGCGCTCTGTAACAGTCAGAGGTAAAGCTGTAACTTTAGGTTCTCCGACATCTTCAGGACAGAGCAGTTTACGCTTTGCTTTGCGGTTTCTCAGTAACAACTGTAAAAAGTAAGTAAGTAAAAACTGAGATCTTTGCAGGTGTTAACTGTTTATTGCTGCTATGATGGAAGGGAGAAGAGGAACTAACTTTTTTCCCCCTTGTTCCACAGCCTTAAATATGACTATAAATGCTGAAAAAGTATGATGTTGTTCTTTAATAATTTAAAAAACAGCATGCGTTTGCATGGTATAAGAAGAATAAAACAGCAGGATGTGCTCTTAGAGGGAAATAAATCAACAACAGGGCCTTTCGCACCGCTTTAGCTCCAGAACTAAATGTACGGTACTAAAGTACTGGGTGATTTTGCGTGAACTATTTCCCGGTTCCGTTTAAAGGGTTGCGTTCGCACTGACAGTGGGCACTAGGAAGTGACGTAAGCCGGTCGACAGCGACGTCATTTGTGCGCAGCGTTCAACAACGGAAACAAAGAAGAACGACGTAAACAACCGGAGGATGGAGGACGCTGTGATCGGAGCCGTGCTGCACTTCAGCGTCCGTCCATCTATCGCTGCTCTCCATACTTGTGAAATAAGTCGACACTACAGCATGTTTACACGGCGTTTTAAATCGTGGCGGGTGACGGCGTTTTCGTACGCGTTTGGCCAATCAGCATCTACGTACGTCACAGATGGTACCAGTCATGCTGGTTAGACCCTGCTCCGGAGTAGGAGCTCATTTGGTTCTCGAAAAAGGCAGGTACTAAAATCACACCCAGTTCCGGAGGTGCGAAAACGCCAAAAAGTGGGTAGTTCCACAATTAGTTCGGGTTCTATGAAAAGGTGCGAAAGGCCCTTTTGAGGTGCTAACAGTAATTCTGCTTCATCACGTCTTCATTATTTTCTTTTAAGAGCACAATGCATGTTATAATTCTTTTCTCAGTTGCCATCGTATCCCAGCTGCCCATTGTCCATAGGCTTTGTAAAAACCTCGCTGAAGTATAAAATCTTGGCAGTATTTAGGTATTTTTTGCATTTCTGTTTATTCAGGTTTAAAACGTTTATGACGTTCACGTTTCACGAGTTAACGCTTGATCAAAGTCTCTGCAGCTCTGGCTGGGTGAAGAAGTGTTACATGCCGGCTTTGCTCCACTCTGCCGATGTAACAGAGCCTGGTTTTGGTGGCAGCGCAGGATCCACCAAATGATTTATGAGCTCTGTTTCATAAAAACCTCATTTAGTGTAGCTCGGCTAACAGCGTCCTTGCGGTACTGCTATTCACTTCACGCTCGTGCTGTCACTTTGTGTTGTCTGCGTTGCTGCTTGATAATTACTTCACTTCTTTCAGCTGGCGTGTGATTAATTCACTGGAGGTAAAACATTTTATTAGCATTAAAGCCTCTCAGTGTGACGCTGAGCCTGAGGCTGGTCAGCATTTTAATTTTAATTATTTTTTTTTTGCTTTACATCTAGGGATTGTATGAGATTCAGATCAGGAGGGTTTGATCCCCCTGTAGATGTTGATGTTGATGTAGCTCAGGGGCTCTAGGTTGAAGTTTAGCATAAATAAAAATAGTAAGGCCCTAAATCTGCACTAAGTGATCCTCCAGGGGAAAACAGTGTTCAGAGAGAGGGCGATGGTATTTTATATATAGTGTGGGATGGAGAACATTGGTATTACTGGGGTATTAGTGGACAATGTTGGTGTTGTATGGAGAACATTGGTGTTGGTGGAGAATGTTCAAGTTTTATGGAGAGCACTGGTGTTGATGGAGAACATTGGAATTGATGGAGAATGCTGG